TTGGCTGAGTATGTAATAAAAACAGGGCACAAGCAGGCTGAGCTAATGAGCTATCAAGGGAAATCGAGAGAGAGAGAGAGAGAGAGAGAGAGAGAGGGAGAGAGAGAGAGAGAGAGAAAATATTCAAATAAGTATTTCTACTTGCTAGCTATGATATAATCTACATTGCAGCTATCCTTCACGAAACAAAAAGTCGTTCTTCAAGTTCACTAGCAGCTTCTAAAACAGCTACGTTAATATAAGGGGCACAACAGGAAGAGAAGTATTCACACCTTTGGTAAAGATGAAGAATAAAGCAATGAAAAAAAATCTTACACATTAAATACAGGAGAACTGTAACCTTACAGTCAGCTAAAGTTATTTAAAAAAAACTGTCATATAACACACATTTCTCAAACAAGTTGGCCATTTCTCCATGGCACTTTTCCTCATTTTTACCATTTTACTAATAATTCTGGAGGGCACTGTAAATCAGCAGCCACCTGGACCTCCACAGTTACACCTTCCTCCAAATTCTTACATCCAATGTAATTTCTGTCATTGAGACTGAACTGCAAGTGACAAACCTTTTTATCAGTGATCAGTGTTGACTTCCTTTCCAAAATCTGGCTCAGGTAATTTGGAGGTGATTACAGGGACACAGAATGGTAAGAGTGGTAAGTGTGGTCGCCACTTTGGTGGTGTTGTGGTCAATAAGTGGCCTGGAGACTCCCCATTCAACACACTTGGACATCAGAACTCAATTCCACAGTGCTCTGAAGTTTATTGTGGTTTTTGGACTGACCTTGCAGGGACATCACTATTTATAAACATCAGAACATTAAGGCGATTACGAGCAACTAACCACATCAGGAAAGAGCGAAATCTCAGTAGTTTAAAAACATTTGTACACACCACAGGCAATCAGTATTTATGGCATGCTATGATGTCCAGCTACCTTGTAATATTTTTTTTTTATTTATTTTTTTTTTAAAACAAGCTTTACAACATCCTCAGTAGAGTTGCACCACTGTACGGAAGAACAGTTCTGTAGCTATTTCAAAACTGCCTTAGTCCACTTGCATCTTGCTACATACAAAAAGCTGTATTTCCCCCAGCAATGTTTTTTTCATTTAATTTTCAAATATTTTCAAAATATTTTCAATATACTAAGTCACAGCAAACGCTGCAGAAATGTTCAGGCGAACACATTTTCTGGAGAACATCTGCGATTTGCCAACACATGCACAGAACATTCAACAAGAACATCTGGGATAGGCCTGTGCACTCACAGTCCATTACACACTCAACACATACTCTTCTGATTTGTAAGGACACTAATTTGCTGAATATTTGTAATATGGTTTTCGTTTTAGCTTGTTTGTAATGCTGCTGAAATACTAATAAATGTAATGATGTGGGGGGTTTTTTGCATCTTCTAATACAGTGAACGAGCATGACGTGTGTTTCTGATCTTATTACTCATGCAGTTATTATGCACTCATAAATGCTCGCCTCATGACGTCTCTAAAGCTCTACTACATTAGGCTGGTTTTCACTGAACCTGAATGGAGACTTGATACATCGCATTTTGTGGCATTTATCAGGAAAACAAGATTAGCTATTTAGCTTTCAAAAGACTACAACTTAATGAGTCACGCTTCCACATTTCCAGCTAAATGCATCAGCACCATCTGTACTCACAATGTATCTCAGTTTATCAAAACACAAAGTGACACTAAAATCAGCAAGTGAAACAAAGCAAACACATAAACGACTGCTATTCACTGAATATTCACAGGTACTGAGAAATATTCAATGGATGATGTTAAATTCCTTCCAGGTAATCTGAATTAAAAGAAAAACACAACTCTCCAGAGAAAAGTCCACACCACAGTCTCCATGGCTTCATTTGCTTCATATTTGAACAGGCAAAACGTCACGTTGCATGCATATGTTCAGCGCCTTGACCTTACACACTGACCACACCTACAAATCAACAACTTTCTGATAACTTTTTGTAGTGAAGCTATGGACAACAATGAATATTTCTTCAAACTGACTGAGAGTTATCACTCCTACTATCGGACAGAGAGTCTGGTGACAGCTCCAGATGCAGACCAGATATCAGGCCATTCGGGCCTCAGCTAAATCAGCTGATTTCCATAAAGAGAAGCACTTTATATTTCCTGAAGAGCATGAAATTCTTTATGGCTATCACAGGATCTGACCTGCTGGCTGCAGCTCAGATTTCCAATGCACATCCTAAAACACACGTAAAAAGACAAAAAAAAAAGAGCTGTTGAAAAAAAAAAAATAATAAAAAAAAAAATAAAAAAGTTTGGATAAAAGTGGAATAAATACATCACAGTCTTTGTTAGAAAACCAAATCTTATGACTGCTGAAAAGTCTTAATCTGGTTTATTCACTTAATCTGGAAAATGCTAAGAAATTGTTGAGACTGAGTCAAAAATAAAGGCTCTAAGTATCATGCTCTGTTACCAAAAAAAGGACTGGCCTACCTAAAAAGAACGACAGCTCTTCTGAACTATTATTTCCTACATGTAAAGTGAACTGTGTACCTGTAATCACTGACACTTGACTGTATATCCTTGTTGAATACATGAAGCAAATTATTCCAATTAACATAACATGTGTCTCCAGGTGACTTGAAGACATTTTTCCAAGAGGTTTTAAGTGTATATAGACGTGTCTTAAAGACAAGTCTTGGACTTCTGCCTTAGCATGGCTGGGCGTGGACGCATGCGGCACAAAGGTCCCATTCACGGTAGGTCTGCGACGTCTGGACACCTTAAATGCTTCAACACAGTTGTACACTGCAAGCACACTGCGGGGCAAAAGTGCGGTTCATGCATGAGGCCGTTTTTAGCCACGTTCACTTGTAAAACTTTGGAGGAAAACCAGTGATATCTATAAGACATCCAAAGTTCAGCAGCCATGACAGCAGACCTATTTATAACCGGGGTTGGTGGGGAGGCGGGGGGGGGGGGTCCTCTATGTTTGGGACTAAAAGTTCACACGGGGGAGGAGAGAGAGAGAAAGTTCTCCCTCTTACACTGTTTACACAACATTCGAAAATGATACAAGGTGTTCAGAGTTCCACGCTGTAACTCACAGCCGGAAGCTTTGGGAATTTCAGCGATTAGAAAAATATCATCAAGGAAGAAGTAATAATAGAAGATTTAGCTTGTTGACTATGGAGGGGCAAATATGTTACGCTTCTTATCATCTGCTTAAATTCTCACAAATCTGAATAAGGAAGAACGTAATGAGGCAACAGTAAACCTACAGCTGACCTTGCGGGGGTCTATTAGTAAGTGGCAGCACAACAGCTGTAACCCTGTAGTGGCACAAGTATGTGGTCACACTAGTAGAAGCAGATGTGATCAATGACATGAGCCTCTTGGAAATGTAAGAAAAGTTTATTTTTACAGTAAATTATAACATGCATGCTAGACTTTTTTCTACCTTGATACTAGTGTCAGCATTCACTATTGGCTTTCAGTTGTCCTTCAGCAAAATATGCAGGTTTTGCCTTGTATATGTCTTCAATCATTTCAATGACTCTGGAGTAGTGACACCTCACACCTAACAGCTGGCAGCAAAACGTTGAAGTGTTAAATCGATATTATCTCATAGCAAGTTTCACTTACCTTATAGTGTAAAAACGAATAAATAAACAAGCCAGATGCAACCATCTTTTTCCTCCAATTTCATTTTCCAACTCTTTCAGTGCATCTATCGGAAACTGATTGTTTATAACGTGGCAAAGGACAGAATTACTAGAAATTACATATATCAGTCATGGGGTTAACTGCATGGAATAAGTGTGCACCAGAAATGACTACAGCCTGAATTAAGACATTACACAAAGCAGAGCTTTACAGATAACTAGGTAGTTTAAGCCCAAAGTCAAGCCTATCCAGTAAGGCAAGGCAAATTTGTTTGTATAGCATCTTTCATACACTGTGGTCACTCAAAATACTTTACAAATGAGAAAATATGAAGTCAAATTAAAATTTAAAAGATGTAGGAGAATGGATATTAAAAAATATAATGAAAAAAAAATAATGATCTAATAGAGTGCAGTAACAGGATAGAAGTGAAGTAGAGCTAACAGTGTTTTAAACTGAGCTGAAAGCTGCTCAAATGGGAAAGTTTTCAGCCTGGATTTGAAGGTGTCCAGCGTCTGGGCTTTCTAATGCTTCTGTCATACGGTTCCATTCAAGAGCAGCATAGTAGCTACACGCTACACTGGTTGCCAGTGTAGGGATTTATGAATGGGGGTGATGTGTTCCCCTTTTTTACTCCTAGTGGGAACTCTGGCAGCTGCTGAAGCTGTTTGGGTGTCTTTTTTGGAAAGCCCAGTTAGGAGAGCATTACAGTAACCAATCCTGCTAGAAATAAAGGAGTGGATAAGATTCTCCGGGTCTGGTTTAGTCAGAAAATCTCTAATCTCGTTGGTGTTCTTACAGTAGACACATTCCTATTAGGTAATCTTCACTTTTGCTTTTGCTTTCTTAAAAAGCCCCAAAAGGTGTGGATGCTTACTAAGCTGTACACCCAGTTCCTCACAGCTGTGACAGGTCTGACTGCAACAGGCCGAGCTGAATGCTGCACACTGTTCTAACAAGCACGAAGTGACCACAACTTTTTTTCTAGCCAAACTTTTCCAAAAAGTCCATCTTAGAAAGCTTAAAATGGTAAGTCTGCGTGAGTGGGGCCCAGCAGCGCTGAGGCTCAGAGCTCCAGCTCCAGGCTACGCTGCGAAACGAACGCCTCCACACACACAGCGAGCATGTGGATCAGCTGTGAGAGAGAGATAGAGAAACAGACAGAGAGAGTGTAAGAGAGAGCGAGAGAGAGAGAGAGAGAGAGAGCGCGAGAGAGAGAGAGAGGGAGAGAGAGAGCGCGGACGGGAGCGGGCACGCCGCACAGATCAACACCACAAACCGAGCAAAACCCGAGAGCGAAAGAGATCGACCATAGGAGCAACTTACATCCTCGAAGAGTGATCCAACGTTGGCTGTGGCCAGCAATATTCCCGTGCCTTGCGATGTCACTTTCCCCGCCATAACTATTGCAGGATCAGAAACTGCTTCTTCGAGCGCGCTCGTGACTGAAAATCAGGAACACTCGGGAAGGAAAAACTTAGGCGTTTCTCGAGGCTGCTTCGCTTAAAACGCTTGCTGTTGGAAACTGCAGTCGGCTCTTGTTCATAACTAGCCGTGTGTGTGCGTGCATCTAGGTGCGAGTCGAGGGGTCCTTGCTGCTGCTGCTGCTGTTGCTGTTGATGTTGATGTTGTGTTGCCTACTCTACTCTGTCACGTTTATGGCCATGGCAAAAAAAAAGTTTCCGTTGTTTAATCCACAGCGAGTGCCGGACTGTGCTTCATTTCAGCGCGGACTGTTTCCTCGGCGGTTGGCTGGGGTGAAGTGCAGCTCCTCTCGCCCGTCAGCGCCACTCGGCCACGGCCGAGCTCAGCCTGCTCAGGAGGATGGGCTCGAGTCCTGCACCGTCCTGACGTCACGCAGCCAAGGGGAAGATGCAGCTCTTAAAAGGGCAACACACAGTTTTTAGCAGGGCCAAGAAAACCTGCCTGAACTCCTTTAATGAATCTGTCAGCGCTCTAGGCAAGTGAAACTCTGATTAAGCCTCACATTTACGATTCACTCCAGGAGTATTATGGTATTGCAGAAAAACAAGGCCAAGAAAATCTAGTGTTATTGTATGCAGTGAATTTATCAGCGCAACCATGTCTGAGTATTATGTACCTTCCGTTAACAGAGGACACTTTAAGAAACTCTAGTTTCTTCCCATTTCAGCTGATGCTAACTAGTGAACTTTGTGAATGAAGTAAAATAAAATACTTTATAAAAGGTTATTACATTACATTAGTTATCGTTTTTATAACTAAATTTATTGAAATGATTTTTTTAAATTAAATGTCATCAATGTATTAATTGCCAAGTAATATTTACTGGGATATTTAATTAAAGAACTTTTTTTTTCACAACCAGTTACAGGAAACACAGCCAATTAATAGTTCACAACCAGTTACAGGAAACACAGCCAATTAATAGTGTAAATCAATGGAAAAGAAAAACAACAGGAAAAAATGGTATTGCCATTCATACCCTTAGACATGAGCAAAATGAAACCCAGGAAGTAGGCTGATCAAATTAAATTGACAATCATTTCTATAATGTAATTTATTCCATTTCCCACTAAAGTAGCTCTTAGTTGGAAATTGAATGAAATAATGGCATTGCCATTCACATCCTGTAAAGTGCCAAAGAAAAACACTGTAAACAAGATAATTGCTTTTTAAGTTTACTTTTAGGGAAGTTGTGTTAAAGAATGGCTTTACCGTTCAGGGCCTACAACACACGTCTCTTGTAACCTAAGGCAAAGTCCTGTATTCCCTGGAAAATACTTTATGAAAATGATAATAGTGAGAGACTGCAGAGAAAATAGCTCATTTGTGCTCCCACACATTCTTACCATGATGGAAGAGCTCTTCATTCTTATTAGAGCCATCCATGCAGTCCCATGAAAGCACATGTGCAGAGTCTTCCAATGTAAGCAGAACAATAGTGGAACATGCTACACAGACACCATCTTTAGCTGTATGAATCAAATCTGTTATATTTAAAGTGGGTTGCCATAGTGATGAAGGCCCTGAATTGTGTAATTGATGAGTAAGAGGTTTTGTCTCATGTCTCTGTGCATGTTTTTAATGCATTAGGCTATATGGTGCTTGTGGTGACAAACAAAATGTATTTTTGGAGCTAAATATAGATAAATATTACATCTATATAAACCCCTATATTAATTAGGCCTGCACAATTAAAAAAGATGGTTCCTCCGGGGTTCTTTAGTAAAGAAAATGGTTCTACATAGGACCATGAGCACTCAAAGAACCCTTTGCATGATTAAAGTGTTCTTTGCATAGTGAAAGTGTTTTTCACATTGATAGATAATGTGCTGTAGATGGCTCTATATATATAGCCTTTTTAAAAAGGGTTCTATATGATTCCTATCTATGATCCCTGTCACCAACACTGTGCATGATTCTGACTCTAGAACAGCACAAATCACTCTGAATGAGTATGTTTACATCTTAACCATTTAATTCTGTCAAACTTTTTCAAAAATCTACGGAATTCCTTTTTAACTCAGCTGTACAGTATCATACTTGTTTTTAAATCACTACCTGAAGCATCTACTGTGCTTTTAAACATTAAATTAATTTATATATGTGGTTTGTAATACTGCTTCCCTGTTCTTTGCACTGCCATTCAACACTGCAGACCTCACTGAGCTGGTTTGGCCGAGAACTGAAAGACTTTTCACAATTTATCAGCATTCCATCTGTGCTTCCATCAATGAATACCTGTACCGGTTTAACTACATAAAGAGCTCTAGTCATTTGTCATTGCTTGCTACAGCAGACAAGCAGAAAACAGTGGCATAAGGCCTCAAGGACAGTCATCACTGAGAGCCCTAGGAGAGGCTGCCTGCAGCTCGCAGCCAAGAGATTCAGCATTCTCTAATTGAAGGTTAGCACACAATCTGGTTCACTGTGATTGGTGTACTGGCTTGTTTAGGTGTCACTCCTTACCATATGATATTTCACTGACATTGGACTAGACTGCATGCCAACTGAGAGAGCAGTGCTCAAAATGAGAACATCTTAATAAAACATTTTAAAGTGATGAACAAATGAATGCCTCAAGCAATGTTTTGGAGGGAATTTTGCCCCCATTTTTCTCCCAAATTTTTTGTTGTGGCCACTCACTAGCTAGATGCTCCTATTACACAACGCTACCAAGTTGTCAGAGTGAAGGCTAGCATGGGGAAGTGAAGGCAGCCACCACATCTTTTCAAAATGCCAGTAATGAATTGTCCTTGGACAGCTCAATGCATATGAAGGGGAGCACTCACTGCCTATTCAACCAACAGATGCCTGCGTTGGCTAGCATCATTGACTAGTGGTGGGCGGAGAGCGAAGCCAGTTATGCTCTCTTGGGTCCCGTTTCGATACTTTTTTAAACATGCCCTCTCCAACTTTGACTCGCTAATCAGAAGTGTGTCACATTACACAAGTGGCCACTCACAGTACAAGGGGAGGAAGAGAAAGAAGGGAATGGCTAGTTTAGCATCAGTGTGCTAATTGGCCATGCAAACTTTGTAATGCAGGACGTTTCTGAGACTTCCAAACACAATGTAGGTAAATCTTGTGAATAACTACTTTGTCTGGCTCTGAGCTTTGGTTTATAACTGTGGTGTATTGCCTATATTTTCTTCTTGTTACTAGCTGTGTAGGTTTGATTATTGGGCAAGTTTTGCTGCAGAAGTCAACACTTATGTTTGCTCGATCCCTCGTTCCTCCGAGGGCTTATCTAACACACTTCACTTGAGCTAATAAAGTAATGAAACAGCTCTTAAGATGGCATTAGGGATTCCCTGAGGGGAAATGGTGAGGCAAAGTTGACGAGGGCTTGTTAAAACCGGTATTGGAACAGGCATTTGGACTCCTGTTCACGGATAGCTGTGGCATTGCTGGGGGTCGACTCACGATCCCCCAAAGATAGCGCTAATGCTTAGACAATTGTGCTGCTCAGGAGCTCATTAAGTAATCATAAGACTTACTTATGTTGATTCTGACACTCTATGGTATACTGTTATCTATGGCAAAGCGCAAGAGTACAGACACAATTCGGGCTTCAAGATTACTATTACTGCCATTTAGAGCTAAGTAACATGTTAGCTACGAAAGCTTTGTGTGATTTAAGCATGCAGTTTGCATGATGCTAATCAGTGGTCTAAAGACCCCCCTCAATTAGCCTCATAGTTCTAGTTTAAAACTAAAGAAGCAAACCTCAGACACCAAATATGGCTTGACTGTGTTAATGGAAAAACTGTAAATTAAAAATTTCACAGAAATATCGCTTTAAACTAAGTCCTCTAAACTTTCAGACTCCCCCTCTATATATTGGTATTTGTAAATTATTTGTACTTTTGAGGGGCTTCTTGTAAATATCTGCTGCAATTTTCAGCCATACGCTGTTGTAGTGCATTTGGACCAAAATCTAATCTTATCAAGGTCATATCTAGAGTATGCTGCTTGTGATCTTTTATAAAATGTTATAAGATTAATGAAAGTAGGTTGTTGAGTGAAGGACGTGATTCTCCCGCAGCGAGAAGGCCATTCTAGTGGAGAAGGCACTAACACTTACAGCATGCCTCATTGAGATTCTGCAAAGGAGAGGAGGAGATTATCAAGCTGCAACAAGGTACAGAGTGCCCACAGCTGTGTCTGGCAGCGCAAGTGTGTGTGTGTGTGTGTGTGTGTGTGTGTGTGTGTGTGGGGGGGCTGCTGGAAGGGCAATACCCTCAACCTAGCCTTACTTTGCTTGTACTTAGATTAGCCTCTTAAACCACAAGAAAGAGAAAGAAAATGTAAGTCTAAGATAACCTTATGAATAAGTTTAGTAACTTGTTATTTCTAAAAAGCTGTTCAAAGACAGCATTATAATTCCAGAAGCGATTCGAGATATAGTGCTGTGAAAAAGTATTTGCCCTTCAAGTTCTTAGATTTTTGCATGTTTGTCATACTTTACTGGTTCAGATCATCAAACTACTTTTAATAATAGACAAAGATAACCCAAGTAAATACACAATGATCGTTTTTAAATGATGATTTTCTTTATTGAAGGAAGCCCTACCTGTATTTATGTGAAAAAAAGAAATCGCCCCTTAGCTACTAGATCAACCAGTTAAACCAAATTCAATTTAAATACAACCTGTCTGGCAATGTGAAGCAGCACATGATGCCATGTTCTAAAGAGATTCAAATACAGATGCAAAACAAAGTCATTGAACTGGGCCAGTCTGGAAAGGGTTACAAAGCCATTGCTAAGGCTCTGAGACTCCAGCAAACCCCAGTGTGAGCCATTATCCACAAATGGAGAAAACTTGGCACAGTGGTGAACCTTCTCAGGAGTGGCTGGCCTACCAAAATTTCACCAAGAGCACATCGACGACTCAAGCAGGTGGTCGAAAAAGAATCTAAACAAATATCTAAAGAACTGCAGGTCTCACTTGCCTCAGTTAAGGTCAATGTAGACCTTAGAAAGACCTTCACAATAAGAAAGATACTAGGTATCCATGGGAGAGTTGCAAGGTGCAAACGACTGCTGACCAAAAAGAACATAATGGCTCGTCTTGCATTTGCCAAAAACATCCAGATAACTCCGTAGACCTTTAGGATAATATTCTGTGGACTGAGGAGTCAAAGGTGGAACTTTTTGAAAGACATCGGCCATGTTACACCTGGCACAAAGCTACCACTGCATTCCACCATTAGGACATCATACCAACCATCGAACGTGGTGGTGGTAGTGTGATGGTCAGGGGCTGCTTTGCTTCTGCAGAACCTGGATGACTTGTCATAATTGATGGAACAATGAATTCTGTTCTCTATCAGAAAATCCTGAAGGAGAATGTCCGCCAGATCATGACCTGAAGCTCAAGCACAGCTGGGTTATGCAGTAGGACAATGATTCAAAGCACACAAGCAAGTTCACCACTGAATGGCTCAAAACAAACAAAATTAAAGTTATGGACTGGCTGAGTCAAAGTCGTGACTTGAATCCCATTGAGATGCTGCGGCAAGACCATAAATGGGCAGTTCACGCTCAAAAACCCTCCAATGTAGCCGTATTAAAA